ATATTTTTATGAAGTTCGAAAAAATGGCTGCACAAGTTACATCTGGCAACACTTGTATTATGATTGTTTCGGCAATGAAGACTTGAAATATTTTTATCCGTTAAAAATTTAAAATAAAAAATTACATGTACATACGAACGATACACAGTAATTAAAATACAAGTAGATTAATTAAATGAAATAATCGGACCCTCGTGACTTTATAAACCATGAGTTCAAGGATAGAAATGAATTAAATAAGTGAAGGATTTTCTTAATAGAAGTCAACAAATTTTCTTTCGTCATTCATTTGTTCGTTCGTTCATTCAGCAGATGAAAATTTTTAGAAGATTATTTGAATATATAATAAATTTTCAGATTTCTACATATCGTTTACATTTCAAAACAATAACGATTAACGTATCACTATATTCACGAAACTTACTGTCGAGTATGGCGTAATTTAAGATGAAGCTATCATATAAATAGAATGAATAAATTGAACATATTGAATATAATACATTCACTCAACGGAACACAAATTGATTTGTAAAATTCATCGTCACTTTACAGGCCACATAAACGTTCAGATAAATAATTAATCAGGCGTTGATTTTCATTAAATTAAATTCGCTGATTGATTTCATGTGGAAAATTTTGTCTTTGTCCAAATACTGAAAAGTGGAAACAATAATACAATGACTTATGTATGCATACAACAACACGCCTTCACTTTCATGAGAATCAACTGAAAACTAAATCAATTTAAGCTTTAAAAGGAAATCAAATACGTTCCCGATTCGTAAAAAAAAATCAATCACACAAAAGTCTTTTTGAAATGTTTTTCATGACCTCAGAAACTGTGAAGAAGCTTCGATATTTTTTCGACTGATGTATTTATAAATAAATATGAAGGAAAATTAATATCATTTCATTATGCCATTGACCATGCGACACAGATCCCAAATAATCAATCATCACCGAATTACTATTATTATGCTTCGTTAGACTTTTGAGTCGCCAAAGCTTTAATTTTATATTTGGTGTTATTTTTAGCATGAGAAACTCTCGAGTTCATCTATCAATGATGTTTATCACGTTCATTCCACTTAACAAAAAGACTATAAGTAGATTTGAGAATTTAATTTAATATTTACTGAAGCGACATGTTTCCCACTTTCATGATTGAACTTCGACATATATCTCGAGAAGAAGGAAACAAAAGGTAAAAGGTCAACAAAAGCCGGCTAAACAAATTCTTCTTAACATTGTTATTCTTACAGGCATCAAATCGTTTAATCAACGAACCGAATAGCAACAAAAAAAGGAAAAAGAAAAAAAGACAACTCACCCAAAAGTAATCGTTAAAGTCCACTGTCATTGTGTCGTGTTGAATGCCTCCAAGAGGCGATGTAAAAACTTTATCACTAAGTTATTATGTTTTTGACAAAGTACGTAACTTCTCCGCGTTACCGATGAAAGAAAAAGTTTCTATCGTCCTTAATTGTCTTTTAAATATGCGAATAATCTGTTGACGACTTAACAATCCATTGCTGCTTTCAACACAAAATCAGAAATAAAGAATTAGCTTCACTAAGCACTTAGAATCAACCAACTGTGAAAAGACTACAATTAAAAGGCAACAAGATGCGAGAAAGTCTGCTGATAAGAAACATTGGATCTGTTTACGCATAACACCCGCAGTGATAACAAAGTTATTCAGTATTATGAAAAAATTGCGGCTGTTACTGAATTGTTCGAGGATAATGAAATAATTTTTAAAGCAGAAATGATTGCATCTCAAATTCCATATGGTGTTCTGTAAATTTCCGGTTCCTTTAATTGTATATCATAACAACCTTCCGCTTTAAATGATTTAATCTTTCCTCCCTACAGCATTGAAGCCAATTATTCACAAAGAGAACTCAGTCGTCGTATTATTGAAGTATAAAACATCTTTTGTTTGTTTGTGACATGAGTAGTATGACAATGAAATAATATTTCACAACGGATTACTTAAAGATAAAAAGTAAATGCATTTTAAGCTGCATGTATGAATGATTGTTTTTTCCCCATCATTTTTTCTATAATTTATCTGCATTGTTGAGCTTTTGTTGAATAAACTAGACAAGTGGTTAGGATGAGGTAACCAAGACTTTGAATGTAAATTTCTAATAGAAAAATATCACAAATGACAACAACAAAATGAATTGGGGACAATTTTTTTTACTATAGTCTGGAGAATTGATATTTGGTAGTTTGAGCTTAAGTATTCTTAAATTAAGAAGGCTAACAATATGAGGAATTGATCAGGAACAGGTTGAATCATTGATTTGATGACCAAACGGAAGCGAAATTTTGTACGCTTTTAACCCGCAGGAATTCACGATAAACAAAATTACTTTCTTTCTTATCACATCAACTTAGAATTCAGGCATCTTCCACCGATTCAATTGAGCGCTTTTCACAAGGTTTCTTTATAGTTTATGTTGTATTTCCACTGTATTTAATAATAATTTATTTTTTATTAAATTTTCTCTTTTTGTGCAAATTCAGTTGTTTTCATTTTTTCCAGTTTTTACAGATCGGTATAATGATTTTCACCTTAATAGCTTGAGTAAATGAACGTAAGAGATTCAAAACTTAAAGTTTGAAGCACAAAACAGATTAGAAACACCCTAAAATTACATGAAATTCCTTGTAATAATTAAATTTGTCAATCAAACTTATATTCGAACTTTCGCATTTGGAAGCAGGGATGGCAACAATAGAAAAAACAACCAGATTTAAAAAACAAATGTTCGTTACATTTTTATTTCATTACCTAATCTAAATCCATCTTATTTAAACAAATTCTAAGTTTGCGTAGAAGAATTTTATGTTTTTCTGATTCCTTCCTGATTTTCTCTTTTTCAGCTTCGAAAACACGCTTCGGCATTTGGACATACTTTTCACCATTGAATATGAACTCACTGTACCCTTCAATTGCCTCAATTTCCGTCAATACCTTTTCTGGCTCATCCTCAACTTCAATACTTTCTATACTTGATCGGTTAATATTCTCTTCAGTGTCAATTATCTCATCTTCTTCAATTATTTCCTGCTTTTGACTCGAATGTGAAGCTTCAATTCCTGAACTGGTTCGAAGAGTCTGAGATGTTCTGGGTTTCACAACAAAAAATTGAATCTTCTTTTGAGAGCTTTTCGACTGAATGCAAATTTCTTCATAAGAACTGTCGTGTTTTAATTTTTTTGGTTCCTTTACTGGAGAAATCTGTGTTATTTGATAATCTTCACTCACACTCTCGTCTGCTTCATTTAGACGTTCTTCTTTAATATCTCCCTGAGAGTTTGACGTTGAGTTAGCTGAAATTCGATTTGATGTTCGTTTATGGTTCAGAATTGTCGGAGGATTTATTTCGATATTTGTACTAATGAGTGAATGCTCGCCCGAAAGTTCAGCTCTTGTGTATTCTGATATCTTTCGTTTTTTATTTGATTCAAATCCGATCAAATTAAACTTTGGTTCTTCTGATAAGTCAATATTTGAGCGCCATTTCTCAGGTATTGCTGTATGTACGAGCATCTTCCTTCTTGACTGATTACTTATATAATTAACGCTGAAATGTTTGTCACATAAGAATCTCGGATCATTAATATCCACAAGTCCTTCTAATTCTAATCCCGCGTATGCACACCACACTAAAAGAGAAAAACATAAAAAGTTGTAAACAAATACATATCTGAGTCATTTAAAATTCCTACCAACCTATGAAACGTTCTTGTTCCTTTGGGAATTTGAACAAAGTTCGTCCATATCCACCTTTACAATTTTTATATAAACAAACCTTTTTATTTGACGCCATCAAATAATTTAAAGAATTTCTTCACAAAAACCAATTTCGTTCATATCAAGCTTCACATTCGAAATTGTTTTCGAAAACTGTTGATGTGAATTTCGAAAAATATTTTTGTTTACTTTTTCAAAAATTGGATGAAATAATAATTTAGGATTCTATTGAAAGAAAGCAGTTGAATATATTTTACACACGTTAGCAAAGATATTCACTGAATAATATTACATTCAACAAATAAGTATGGATAAATATTTTCTTTATTTTTGAAAATTGTATAAAATCTTTTTTTCATTCAGGAAATGGTTCGGCGCTGTGCAGTTCACAATTGTAAAGAGTCAAATATAACATTACTTGCTCACCGATTTCCCAAAAAAGAAGATATGGTGATTAAATGGCAGAATGCATTAAATTTAAAAAATTATTCGGTTCGAGACCTTCAAACTAAGTTTGTTGTTTGCACGAAACATTTTAAACCATCATCATATAGAAATGTAGTTTCATCAAGTTTGAACACCACAGCAATTCCAGATCTAAATGACAATTTGGACAATGAAAGAATTATCACAACAAATGCTGCTTATAAGAAAAATAGATCTGCTCCCATTCGTTGTCATAAATATCCGAATGAATTATTTATTGAGGAAACTTTGACAGAAGAAAAGCCTAAAGTTAAAAAAGCAAAGATTGAAGATCGAACAGAAAATACAGAACTTCAAAAGGAGCATCTAGTTGTTGAAGTTGATATGATTGGAGTTGTAAATTCTGCAGATGAAATAGAAGAACATGTAGAGCGCAAGAATATTTGTAATGATATCCAAATAGATACAAAACCAGTTAAAACTAAATCAGTTGCAACCAACACTGAAAAAGAAATCCATAAAAATGTCGAGATAGAATCAAAAATGATTGAAACGAAAGCAATTGCAACAAATACTGAAGAAGAAATGTTTAAAGTTTTGAATTTAAATATAGATCCTCAAATTATTCTGACCGATCAACAGACACAAACAGAAACAGACCATGAAAGTAATAAAAAACTAGAAGATTCCAATCAATCAAAAGATAACAAAATATTTGGGATTCTCTATCCTGAATTAGCTAGTCTAAACAAAATGCAACTTGGCGAGCTTGTAGCTGAAAGAAATCGTAAAATTGAATCTCTTGAAGAAAAAGTTAATAAGTTAGAAGCAGCAATGAAAAGTTTACTTTGAGAATATTTAAGTAGATTTATGCTGACACACACATTTCTTCAATCATGATTTCTTTTTGATTTTATGAAGAATCTTTAAAAAATAAAATTTCATTTAAAAGAATTTTTGAATCTTGTAAGTTACTAAAAGTTTTATGATCATCATAAAATTTTTATTGCCCGTTATAAAGTTCTCTCGTTGTATGAAGAAGCCTCGTTTCGTTCATTTGATATTTTTACCCTCACCCATCAATGTATTATCGCTATGAGTTGGTTTTATTACAATCATTTGCTTTCGAACTGCGCAGAAGTGACTTCATCGTGGCAATAATTTTTTTTATTATCGGTACGAAACATTTCTCTCGGGATTCATATAATTTTATAACTCTGCTTTTACATTTTAGTTCATTCTCTGTGAAGATAACTCAAAACATAGCGTCGGCTTTTGAAAAAATCTACAAAACTAATTTAAAACGAGTTTTAAAAAAATCTTAAATTGTTGAGGATGGATATTTTCCCTACAGAAATGGTAAGAATAACTTAAATAATTGTGCCATGCAATGAAAGTAACGATGAATTTATAATTTTTAAAGGAGCTTATGCGACTTAATAGATTTGATTTTCGAATCCCATTCGCATATTATAAGATCAATCAGAGTCTTGAGGAGCACCACCGAATGAAGATAGCTCGAGCCATTATTCATACAATAATGGAACATGATCCTAACAGAAGGTTTTATTTTGTAAATTGAAATGAATTCTGTTAGATATAGATTCTTATTTTCATTTCAGTTTAGGAAAAAGAGACTTTAATCATTTAACCGGCATCATCGTAAAAGTTTTTCCAACTGAAATACCTGGAACAGATCGGAAGAGCGTCGTGTAGGGANAATGAAGATGGCTGGAGCCATTATTCATACAATAATGGAACATGATCCTAACAGAAGGTTTTATTTTATAAATTGAAACGAATTCTCTTATAGATTTTTATTTTTATTTCAGTTTAGGAAAAAGAGACTTTAATCATTTAACCGGCATCATCGTAAAAGTTTTTCCAACTGAAATACCTGGAACTTTCTTCATTTCATCTTACAAGGGCAAAGTACCAACAGGAAAGTTGTATTCGACATATTTGAACATACGAAATGCTTTAGTTGATGTTAAAATAATAACTAGAGAACGACGATCTCGACGTGAACCATCATTATCTCTTGACGAAACTGACGAATCAACCACCGATCATTTGGAAAATTCATTTCGTGTTATTGAAAGTGAAAATATTGGTGAATTAAACACAATAAATTCTGCTTGGGATAAAACATACGATGAACGTCAGAAACTTCTGGGAAGCACAGAATTTTCGACATCAAATTATGTAGGGAAATATCCTTTCTTAAGAGATCCACAAGGATATTTAGTGGTAAGTGGATTAAAATAAATTTATTATGATGGCAGTCAAAATTTTCTTAACATGTTCTGAAGGAAAAAAAATTTGACTGCCATCATAACAAATTGAACTTGTAGATACTACATAGGTAGGTATAGTAGAATTTTAAACTCACTATGAAACTTCGTTTTTAACGTTTTTTTTTTAACTTTTCAAGGGCTGTACATGAAATGTTAAGCCCTGCTTATTAAAATATTTGTAAAGTTGTAAACAAAACAAGTGCAAGTGAAATTAATAAATATCAATAAAATTAGTCAAATATACCAAATATTCACTTATAAGAGGCAGCAATAAATGGAAAGACATGGAGTTTTATCAAACAAAAGATGTAAGTAGATGATTTAGATGAATTAAAAAAAATTTAATCGCATGATTTCCTTCTAAGCGATTACAAGAAATTGCAACCATTGATTTTCGAATTTTAACTGCTCATTATGCAAAATATCAGAGCTTTGAAGAAAATCATCGACAGAAACTTGCCAAAACAATAATTTATAGCATTTTTGAAGCTGACATTGACAAAATGTAAGTAAATGTATTTTCTTCATGACAATCTAATAAATTTCATTCTCATAATTTTAGACTTACAAAAGCTGATTTTAAGTATCTTGCTGCTTTGGTTGTTGAATTATTTCCAACAGAAACAATCGGAACATATTATGTTCCCAGTCACAAAGGAAGTTCGCCAACCGGAAAACTATTTTCATGCTATCGAAACTTGAGAAACACATTAGCTCAAGTTGGACTCATTTCAAGAGATACAAGAAATAATCTTCAACCTTCTACTACAATTGATGCTTTTCCTGATAGTCCAGGTGTGGGAGACGAGTCTGATAATAACATTCTTGAAGGAATTAATACTGTATAGAAAATTTAATTAAAGTTTTAAGAAGGCATACATTTTTACAAAAGACAAATTTTTGTATTTCAGGGCTATGAAATTCTGAAGGCGAGTTAAAATTGTTTTCGGAAAGATAACTTTTCCTGCACAGCAGTTAATTGGCTTCTCATAGCACCAATTTATATGCTGTGAGAAGTGAAATATTTCCTTGAGGGTATTTAGTGTTGAGTAGAATGATAAAAATTTAAAAGAAATGATTTCATAATATTTTTGTTGCAATGCAATTTTATTTATTTTTTGCAGTTACGATTGGATGCGAATAAGAAATTTCCTCATATTGAAAATATTGATGTCAAGAAATCGATCTCTTCAATCGCGCCTAAAATACTGGATAAAGTGAAGTTACTACGAAACGAAACCAAAGCTGTTAGTTTATTGAAGGAGTACTTAAATGGTAATGAATGATAATTTCTAAAGTAATGAAATTTCAAATCTTTTTCTTTTTATGTTAGACAAAAAAGTTGATCAGTCATTACTTGCATTGATCTTATTGCCGTTTATCTTCAGTCCAGCTCCATTCAAGCGTAGTTGGGACGATTCAGCTTCAACATCAACTGCAAAACATAGCAAGGCTGACGCTTATCGCTACTTTTGTTCTCACTTCAAAGTAAGCAAGGGAATCTTTAGGAAATACTTTCATTTTTTATGAAACCTTTTCTTTCAGACAAAAGAAGAAATGGGAACATTCGATGAAACATCAACTGTGTCATCTGCAGATCCTCTTCCACCAAGAATTTATATTATCGGTTGCCTTAAAAAAGCACCAACAGCTGTCATTCTTCTTGATGATATCGAATATGAAATCTCCGATCCACTCGATGCTTTCGATGTTATGTTCAAGATTTTCATAGGACTCAATCTGAAGTATCCACGACAATCGGTAATTGTCTGGACTTTCATCGAGCGTTTCGTCTACCGTTTGCACCAAAATCACATCAACAATTCTCAACTTCTCACAATTATAAACGAAATGACAAATTACGCAGGTTTGTCCTATCAAATAAGTACATTGTCTAATAATCCTTAAACTACAATATTTTTCAGGAAAAACACTTAATGAGGATAAAAATGAAGTAAAACCACAAAATAATGATCGGCAAGATAATATTGGAATTCATCAAAAGCTTTTGGATGATTTTGAAATAATAGCAGATCAGAAATATACAATTAAAACTAGAAAAGACTTGCACATAAAAGAGATTTACAGCAATAATCAGGCAGAAAAGAAAAATTACGAATCAAGTGCTGACGTAGAAAAATTAGGATTTGACCACGAAGATCCTTTCTATGTTAAAGATGAGTTTGAGTTTGTTCTTAATCAGAGAGATCAAGAAACACAGACAGACGCATTCGTAGTTTCCGACAAAAGACAGGAAGATTCTAATCAATCAAAGGATGATAAATTATTTTGTATTCTTTATCCTGATTTTGTTGATTTAAGCAAAGTTCAGCTTGGTGAACTTTTAACAGAAAAAATTCATAAAATTGAGAAACTTGAAGACAAAAATCACAAGTTGGAAGTTGCAATGAAAGCTCTTCTCTGAATTTAAATAATTTTTTATGATGTTACAAACACATTTAAAATCTATTTGAACATCTTCTCTTTAATCTAAAACACTGAACATGAATGGATGAAATAAAGAATAATTTTAAAAAACTATAAAATATAATTTATAGTCCTTTTTTCAAAGGTGGCATCAGTGATGAAAGATTCTTTAAAACATATTTTCATTTGAGACGTTGCGAGACTTTTATTTCTATTTCCTCACAACTAGGAGTCGAACTGATGGGATTTAAGCTTATTGAATTGTTCTTCTAAAGATAAGCAACTTATTTTCAGGAGTGTTATTTACAAGACATGATTTTCATGATATTTTTTTCGAATTCTTATTAATTTTCATTATAATAATCAAAAATGCTTGATTCAGCTTCATCTCATCGAGAATAGATTTTATGAATTAATTTTCAAATAACCCGCTCAAAATTTTACTAAATTTTCTTATTCGATATTTTGACCTTCACCCCTGGTTGTATTACTGCTATGAGTCTACTTTATTGTAAACATTTTTTCCTTTATAAGTGATTTCATCGTGACTATATGAGTTTTTATTGATGGCATAAAACTCGTTTCCTTTTTCTCTTATAAGCTTTTTACACTGATTCTACATTCAAATTCATTCCCTTCAAAAGGCAATATCAAATCAATTTAATAAACTTCGGAAAGTGAATGGGAATAAAGTTAAGAGATAAAAATTAGTGCGAGATGGATATTTTTCCTACAGAACTGGTAAAAATATTTGAAAAGTTTATTAGTGCAATACGATGAAAGTGTATTGATTGAGTTATCATTTATAGGAGCTAACTCGACTCAAAAGATTTGAATTTCGAATCCCATACGCGTATTATGAGATCAATCAGAGTCTTGAAGAGCATCATCGCGGGAAGTTAGCTCGAGCCATTGTTTATACAATTCTAGAGCATGATCCTAAAAGAAGGTTTATATTCATATTTTCAAGGTTTTTTCTCAAATTTAACGTTCGGAAAATTATTCCAGATTAGGCAAAACAGATTTTCTACATTTAACCGCGCTCATCGTAAAACTGTTTCCTACCGAAATTCCTGGAACATTTTATAACTCTTCCTACAAAAGCAGTATGCCAACAGGAAAGCTACATTCAGCATATTTGAACATACGCAATGCTTTAGTTGAAGTTAAAATAATAACTAGAGAACGACGATCTCGACGTGAACCATCATTATCTCCTGACGAAACTGATGAATCGACCACTGATCACTTGGAAAATTCATTTCATATTACTGAAAGTGAAAATATTGGTGAATTGAACACAATAAAATCTGCTTGGGAGAAATCATACAGCGAACGTCAGAAATTTCTGAGTAGCAAGAAGTTTTCTATTTCAAACTATATTAATTTGTATCCATTTTTACGAGGTCCACAGGGATATTTCGTGGTGAGTAGAATAGTGGAAAAGAATCGCAAAAAAAAATCATTTAATATTTATTTTTTTGCAGTTTCGATTGGATGCAGAAAAGAAATTTCCTCAGATTAAGAATGTTGATATTAGGACATCGATCGCTTCAATTGCACCAAGAATTCTGGATAAAGTTAAGATGCAACGGAATGAAGTGAAAGCTACCAGTTTATTAAAAGAGTATTTAAATGGTATTTAAGAAATTAAAATAGTTAAATGAAGAAATTTCAACTCTTATTTTTGTTATTTTTATTGTAGAAAGGAATGTTAACCAGTCACTACTTGCATTGATCTTAATGCCATTTATCTTCAGTCCTGCTCCATTCAAGCGTACTTGGGACGGCGCAGCTTCAACATCAACTGCAAAACATAGCAAGGCTGACGCTTATCGTTACTTTTGTTCTCACTTCAGAGTAAGATTGAAAATTTTTAAAACGATATTGTCTAATGAAACCTTTTCAGACAAAAGAAGAAATGCAAACATTCGATGAAACATTACCTTCATCGACGTCAGATCTTCTGCCACCAAGATTGTATATCATTGGAAATCTTAAAAACGATCCAACAGCTGTCATTCGTCTTGATGATATTGAATACACAATTTCTGATCCACTCGATGCTTTCGATGTTATGTTCAAGATTTTTATAGGACTCAATCTGAAGTATCCACGACAATCAGTAATTGTCTGGACTTTCATCGAGCGTTTCGTCTACCGTTTGAATCAGTATCACATCAACAATTCTCAACTTCTCACAATTATAAACGAAATGACGAATTATGCAGGTTTGTATCATAGGATCGTGTCAACACGCGCGTAACACAATCGTTTACGTTTTCGTGTTACGCGTTGTGTTGAATTTAATTTTCGTGTCAAGATAATCACTTGACACAATCGTCATGGTGATTGTGTTGTTATTCGTGTTGACAAATTTCTCGACACGACAAAATCGTTCAACACAGATTCAACACAATCGCCTTTGGAATTGTGAAAAATTAATTCAATTTCAATCATTTCAAATCAAACAAAATTGAAATTAATTAAAGATATGGATAATAATCAAGTTATCAAGCATGGAGAAACATCCATCACACCTTTGTACGATGGTAAAAAGCGTTGCAGTATTGTTTGGAAATTTTTTGGTCGTTTACTGATTAATGAAAAATCAGTTGATGAAAACCATTTTTATTGTAGTTTATGTCTGCATGAAGGCATAATTAGTAGCAAGTAAGTATTGTTAATATTATTTTATATAATAGTTAATTCAATATGTTTTATATCAATATAGATATACTGGAATTTCAACTTCAGGAATGATTAATCATTTACGTAATTCGCATAAAATTAATAACGAAAATGAGATTGAATCATATGGTTTGTACTGTAAAATTTCTAAATATTTTAAAATAATGCTTGAAACATGATATTTTTGTAGAGAAAAAACTAAATCAAGATAAATACGAAGCAAACTCATCAAAAATGGATCACCAGAACAAAAATGTAGAAACACATAAAAAGCTTTTAGATGAATGGGAAATGATGGAAGCAATGAAAACTTCAAAGAAAACTGAAAAAGATTTAGACTGGAGTTATCGACATACAATTACAAATATTTG